TCTCCTGCTCCCAAAAATCCATTTAATGTATTGTCCTCGGATAGAGATGTATCAGCTATTAAACTGATAGGAACAGATACTACACTTGATCTTAGCCAAAAGGCCGAGAAGCAATTGTCAGTTCCTTCAAGTCAAAAAAAAGAGACATAGTAAAAAGAAAACAGACCATGTCTAGATGAGCCCTGTTTAATTAGAATACACTTTATGGGTGGCCAATAAACCCTGTTTTAAAGGCCCATTATATAGAACAAATACACACACAAAATACAGAGAGACAGAGGCGGGGCGGGGGGTGGGGAAGAGAGAGAATAGTTTGCCTGCTGGGCTGTCATTATCATAAAGTAATAGAAATACTCTGCAAATTTTGGGCACCTGATTTGGACCTGGTCTGCCCCTGTCATGACTCGTTGTTTAGGTCCTTTTGACCTCGACTCGGGAAATCCCCAAAACTGCTCCGTCCCACCATCATTTCGTGGGCAGATGTTTGAGGACCGTCATTCCATGTGCTGTCTGTCTTCCTTACCTCCATGATGGCACAGGCATCCTGTCCCTCCCTCCCTCCCTTCCTTCTTTGCTCCCGTTCCCTTATACATGCACCTCTGACCCATGCACTTCTTCACGTCAGTCTTGCGATCTTTTGGGTTTTTTTGGAGGCACTGGGGTTTGAACTCAGGGCCTCATGCTTGCTAGGCAGGCACTCTACCACTTAAGTCACTCCACTAGCCCTTCCCCTAAATAAAACCTTTCTTCCAACTTCCTTTCTGTCACTTGTGAGCTAGAGAGACTCTGACTGTGGCATAGTGCCTGTGCACATGGTTTAAGAAGGAAAGCCACACATACTTATGTTAAATCTGTCACAGAAAAGGACTGTATACGTCTCTAAGTGCTAATCTCAAAGAAGGGGACTGAGTGTGTGGGAAAAGAAGTAGCTTCCTATTTTTTATCATTTTCATAGTTTGACCTTTATTTTTACATTGCTCATATCTTACTTTCATAATACTTTTGGTTTTTGTTTGCCCATATGGTGATAAAATTGATTTGGCCGATTTTCAGAATTTCAGTTATATTATGGCTTAAAATAGGCACAATGGGGCCAGCCTGAGCCTATGATTACTATTTATAAGATCATTATCCTTATCAACTTCCAAATATAGTGAACTGGCTTACAGATGAACTTTTGGATTACAACCTCTTTGTCAACTCTGTCCAGCCGTATTCGTTAAAAAGCAACAGATTGTCAAATGTCAGTATTGAGACCAAAGGGATGGCCTCGTGTCTCAACAGGAAGTACAGTATTATGAAGTCCACTTCCTACCTTAGACTCTGCAGGTGAGTCATCTCCCCATGGTCGGATACCTAAGTCGTTAATCAAGTGAGTCGGAAGAGTCCATTTTATAAGCAGAGACTGCTTGACTACAGAAAGCACATATTTTCTATACATATATAATATCCACACATGGTAAACTTTTATTATGCTTTATATGCTATGCGTGCTTAGCACATACTGTACTCCTTACGCTGCATAAAGTGCATGCTTGTCTTGGGAGCGCGTACGATCCATTGCAAAAGGTACACAGTAAACTGTAATGTACTTGTACTTTTCAAACTTCAGTGTATTAAACTTCCCCTACCATAGTGAGACTTTCTCTTCCCCCTTATAATGATATCAACATATAGTTAACATAATAATGGCAATTGTTTCCCTGTGAGCTTGAATAGAAGTTTAATCAGCCCATCTGAATGCACAAAATTTGCTTCTAATACTGAACACACTCTTTAACAATTCAGGATTTAGCTGGAGGAGCACAGCCATGGATATTGTGGGGCTGTCTTTCCTGTAATGGACCAGTCTCTGTATGTTTTTGTTGTTGTTTGTTTTGTTTTGTTTTTGAAGATACAGCTAAGAGTGAATTACAGCCATGCATGATCTCACACACACACACACACACACGCACACACACACACACACCTCCTGACGGGTGGGGAGGAACTGCTGGGCTGAGTTCCTCTATGAACCGTATGTCATTTGTTCTTCCCGTTGACAGCAGTGATGCTCTTAGGAGCCTAACAAAATTGTTCCCTGTGCATGGGCTGAGGGACTGCAGCTCTCATACCTTATTAAAAGGATTTATTATTATTGCTATAATGGAAAAAAAAGGGCAGTTGCAGCTCATGTTTACAGTTCCTAGCCTGTACTTCTGCTGTGGCAGAGGAAGTGTTTACATCAGTTTAATAGGCATCAGCTTTATTTTGAAGTCCTTCTGTTTTTACATAGCTGCACAGTCGGTAGATGTTTATAGGATCCAAGGCATTCCTCAGTGTGAAGTAGTTGTTTATTTCCTCTAATCAGAAAAATAATAAATTTGATTTCCTAGCAAAATATAATCTGTTTGCTCAGTTGTGAGTTTTTATAAAGTATGTTTAATATCACTGGGACAGAGGTTTAGAATAGTTGCAAGGGAAACATGACATAGTGGTCTTTCAGGTGGTGGTGATAAGATTGGTGCACTGACTATCATGAATGTATCTTACCCTGTTTAACCACTACACAGAAAGCGAGCCTTCCCTGTATTGTTTCATTCATGCTCCTCCTCATTCATTCAGAAGTCTGATGCTTCCTTTGCCTGCCAGATTAAAGGGGTGGTGTGGGGCCTTTTGATGATGTGCAAACGGCTTTCTTAGCCTGAGCTCCCTGAGCTATGCTCACCACTTACAAGTTCAAATAGTATTCATTGCCTTCAAGCTAACCAGAAATTTGGTCTTATTTTCCTTCCAGGCAACTTTTTAAACTTTTAATAAGGCTTAAAGTTTTTTTGTTTTGATGTATCTCTTATTTTTAATGTAAATCGGGGGAAGAACAAAACAACAGCCCAAAAAAACATGTGACAATCTATAGCCAGGTGTTAGGTCTATGATGTTGGTTCTTTCTTTGTGGGGTTTATCTAGCATTCCACTAGACATCATTTTCTTCCTTAGGACAAAAGCAGTGTTTATTATTGCAGGTGCCAAAATATGGAAGAGAAAAACAGCAGAAAGGCTGTATTCATCACTCCAAGTGGGCTTCATATTTGCCCTTTTGCTTTCATTCCCAAGCTGGGAGTCTGGAAATCAAACAAATGAGTGGTCAAATTGCCTTTCTCAGGTGTGCATCACCCAGATGGAGCAGGTGGTGAGAGGAGCAGGTGCTGAGCTGATGAGAAGATAAGCAAGAAGTCACTCTTGGTGATACTCAGCTAGGAAGCTAAAGCAGGGCTTTCCAAATACCATTGTGCTGCTGTTCAAATATTTACTAATCCACCCTGGGAAGCAAGAGATTGTAGTTATCTAACAGAGGATTGCTCGTCCTGTTTCATCCTTAAGCAGTGTCTCAAAAACCTGGAGAAGGGTGGTTTGCCTCAGAAGGAATTCAAGCTTTCCTTACAGAGCAGCAGGTACACCCCATGTGGACTGAATAAAGCGAGTACAGCTTAGCAGCCCTGCCTTTGGCAAAACATCCTTTTACATATGGTGACTTTATTTCAGCAGATGTTTACTAAATGAGATGCCTTCCTCCCTCTCTGGGTTCTGCTCCATGGGATATGGGAGGCAGATATGGGAGGTCACTAACCTGAGCCTGAGCTTCTCACAGAAGCAGAAAGAGATAAGCAAACATGGGCCGGGGTGGGGGGGGGTGCAATGTGCCTTTCAAGTATTAGAACCTGAGTTGCTGCATATTTTAAAGTTTAGTGTAACTATTTGCACATCTGTAAATAAAAGAGCATATAGCACAGTGACCTTAGGAAAGGAGGAAAAAATGGAGAATTCATCCACAAACTGATAAAGACACTGCCGAGAACTTTTTGGTATATTGTCTTTGCCAGGGTCTTTTTGGTAAGTTTTTGTTGTTTTCTGGCCTTTGATTTGAAAGACCTCTCGCCACAATAGCCAGCAGTGCTGGGACGGTCATTCATTTAGACTCATTCGCTTCCTCTCTGAAGGTCGGGGAGCTAATGAGAAACACAGATTAGCATCCCAGATCTATTCTGAGATTAAGGTAGTGTCCTAACAAGAAGCTTATGATGAAGTGAAAGATTGAGAAAATAATCGTACTTTTATGGGAGAAAGTGTTGAATGAAGCCCACCAACTCTTAAAAGATCGTGTATTGCTTGAAATAATTGCCCTATACTGTTTAAGCACTGTGATGCAGTGTCACTGTTACAATGTTTAAGGATTAATCTATTATTTACATGTTTTGTTAAAAACTTCCTGTAGAATGCATATGGTTCATATAAAGAAAATTCCAGGGTCATTTGGGGTTTTTATGAAAACAATCATTTGTGAAAGAAAAACAGAGCTTGCAATATCTTATTTTGGTTAAGCTCTCTATAAAAAGGCTGTGCAGCCCTGAGAACAAACTGTCAGACCGTCTCGGCTTGGCATAACTGAGCATGACAGTCCCACGTGGGGACGTACACAGAGCCGGGACGCTTGCAAAATACACCTCCGTTTCCAGATGGCAAACCCTTGGCAGTGGAGTTCTGAGATTCTGAGAAACATGAGGTCCACTTTATTTAATTTCCTCTCGTTTACCAAGAGTCAAGATCTATTTTTGTAAAGAAATTCAGGAAATTGGTAAAGCACTTGACTCTGCCCCTTAAGTGTCAGTAATTAACGTGATTGTCACGCTTTTCCTGGCCCCAAGCTGCCTTGCTGGCAGCCTCCCTCACATGCCTGCCCCCTGAAGGTCCGGGAATGGGTGCTCTGAGCTCCAGCCCTTCAAGCAGCACAGCCACAGATTTGCACACATGCTTCCTCTGCATCCTGGTGAAGATTCCCAGCCTCAGACTTTCCCTACCGATCCTGGTATCCTTTCCATTGCCCCTTGTCACTGGCCACCCACGAAAGAAATGGCGCTTCATTCAAGGATGCCGGCCACCACGTCCCTCCAGCCCTGATCCCCGTTAACACAGGGCTGGGACTTAGTGGTTTTGCCTGCTCCAAAGGCAGCCCATCCTCCTACCTTCATCAGCCACTGCGTGTTGTTCTCCATGATGTTCTCCAGCACCTGCAGCCTCTGCACCGAGTCGTCGTAGTCAAGGGGCGCGTCCCTCTGCACAGCATTAGACACGTAGGGACTGGAGGAAGAGCGGCAGCCGTCCGTCTCCGGCAGCAGGAACGTGTAGCTGCAGGGCCCGTGCTGGACCTGGTACTGCTTTTTCCCCGTGCTGTCCACGCTCTTCCGAAAGTTGTTGTAGGCTGCGGCCAAGACAAGATCACAGCCCAAAGTAAAGAAAACAATCTGCCACATTCTCTCTCTCTTTGGGTGATAAACCGCGGGCTCAGCAGACTTCCAGGCACATGCGAGTCCAGAGCCTTCGGTGGCCGTCTAGAGCGTGGGGCCGTGCTGCATGGCTGAGCCCATCAATGAAAGCTTTTTTCTCCCTTCCTCCTTTCCCGGTGGCAGGCTCACTTCCTAACACTGTCTTCTCTCCCGGCTCGCAGGGAGCTGTCAGGCTGCAGAGGGGAGAGCGGTCCTGCTCACTCCGAGGACTGCACTGGCTCTACAGAGCAGCTCTCATGGTTCTTTGTTTCTTTCCCTAGATTCTACAGTGTCAGTATCCGAATCAATCACTTTCCTTTCCTTATATGATAAGTTGATAAGAGCAGCCAGACATGTGTAGGGAGCTGCTCCACCCTCCCGGCTTATTCGTTATCTTCCTGTAGGGGGGTCACTAGCTAGGCAACAGGAAAAATCCGAGCATGACGCTTGCCGTCCAACCGGGACTGTATACTGCAGAAGCCCTCTGGGAACAGGGATCTGTCACAGGACCCCTGAGCATATCCAAGGCACCACCCTAATTAAGTGTTTCCTAGAGCGCACATTGGGCTCTGTTGTCTGAAGCTCACTTAACCGTGCTAGGCTGGGAGTCTATCTGAGGTAATAACTTTTAAAGCACAATGAAAGTTCCTGTTTTTTCCTTTAGGAATAAAAACACTACAAATATGTCAGGACTTCGGCTTATTTTTGTTATTACAAATAAAGAGGAAGACGTTTGGCTTTTGTAAACTGTACCTTTTCAGAGGGAAAATAGTTTCATTAATATTGCTTGATTTTTAAGCTATTAGCTAAGTTATGTAAAATATTCACTTTAAATTAGCTTCATATTATTAAATCAAGTTAGAAAGGTCAGTTTCCAATCTCTGACATCATTCTTTAAAACTAAATATCCCCTTAATATTCAAAACAAACTTAAAATATACTGGATTAGCAGTGCAGAGTTGCAATAGATGGAGGAATCAGAATTGAAATAGAAGTATGTTGAGAAAGGAACCTAACCTTTCCTTTTATCTTACCAGAATCTGCTGAAATCTCATTTTGTAACATGTTGGCAATGCTGAGCTCAGGCAAACCACTTCCCCTTTTTAATGAAGCTCTACTGTCCTTACCTATAAAATTCAGGAGGTGCACTAACTTTTAAGACTCTCTTGCTTCAGTTCTGTGGCTCTGTACATCCTATGAGTTACTTCCTTTACTAACTGAAGGCTGACATTGTGCTGACTCGCCAGCCCACACACACAGGGAAACACTCCAAACCTGTTTCCATCCCAGTGCTCAGGATTAATTACCCCAGAGAGGGACAGCGTGTCTGACACCCTGACTTACAGGGCCACCTCTACGTGTGAATGCCGAGTACCTGTCCACACGATACAAGATTTCTCAGTGAATTTTGTTGTACTGGAGTCTGTTTCAGAGACCCTAAGTAGACCTTTGAAAATTCAGTCGTACTAGTGAAGTTCGTAACCTGAGGTCCGTCGGCAGAACTCGTGGAGTCCATAATCTTGGAGAGGAGAAAAATGTTCTTACTTTTCACAAAGCCCTATCTGAACTACAGCCTTTCCTTTAGCTATGAAAAGTTAACAAACAATTAATTGTTGATACATGTGATTATCTCATCAGTTGAAGTCACAGATATTTTATTATAGATATGCGAGCTGTGGTTCATACTCCACACTGTGTCATCAGCAGCCCCATCTTCAGATCTTGGCATTGATCTTTTGAATAAAATCACACACATCATCTTCTGAGAAGGGGTTAGGTGCTACAAACTACCAAAAGGTTCTGGCTCAGAAAAGCCAAAACTCGTGCCTTGGATGAGCTACTAGCAGAAGAGGGAGTTTGATTCCACCAAGACCCAGGTGCATGGTTTGCACAAGGGACCAAACCAAAGAAGATGTTCATGCTCAGAGAGTGCACCGTGGAGGGTAGCAGATAGGTCTTAAATGTGAGCCTGTGCTGTGTGACCTCAGCAAATGCTTAACTCTCCTGGCTTATTTCCCTTCTTGTAAAAAATGGGTACCATTCTTTCTCTGTAGAGTTTTTCAGGTTAAGGTGCTGGAATACTAGTTTCCTTCCTCACAGGCACTTTATTCAGTGGAAATCACTTCTCCCTATTCAATAGTGCAACTGTTATTCTCGTATTCAATATGAAGCAGTAGTGTAGGGTGTGAATTTCTTCTGAGCGTATTCCTTGTTTGGAAAAGCATATTATAAGGTATGAATATTGCATGTGTGGCTTTAGGACCCATGCAGTTGTCTGCCAGGTAAATGAGGTGGTGTAACAAGCAGCAGGAAGAGGAGATACACCAAGTGCTGCCTGTCCACCAGTTTTGTGTCAGTCGCTCTGTAGGACACAGGGGTGAAGACTCACACATCTGGGCTTCTGACCCGAAGGAACTCCTGGTGCAGGGGGAGGAAGCCCCATAAGCAAGGGACAGTGAGTGCACATAGAAAAAGGGGACGCTGCTTCTTAGGGACACCAGGCCTGCATGCTGTTGGCTTGGACCTCATCCTCATCCAGTCCCCTTGGGGTCAGAACATGGGAGGAGCCACTCTGTAGGTTCCAAAATGGAAATTGTTGGAGCTAGAGAGTAGGGGAAAGCTCTAGTTAGACCAGGGTTTGGCACACATTTCTGGGAAGGATCAGGCATTGCAGCCACCGTGTTTGCAACTACTCAGCTCTGTGCCTGCAGTGCATGCTGGGGCCGCGAATGCCGAACTGTGACTTTCTTGTAATTTTCACACTCGTGAACTAGTCTCCTTACACTTTTTTAACCACATAAGAATGTTGAAAACATTCTTACCTCACCAACCAAAGCTGACTTCTGCGTTAGAGCCTGAGGGGATGTGGTGGGTAAGGCCACTGTGCAGTGTGCAACCAGCACAGCAGGGAGAGCTCCCCTGCTCCCCTCACCCATGACTCCAGCATGACACGTGCCAGGGCAAGGTATGTATGACTGGTCTAAAGAGAAAATCCTGTGGCGTGAGAAGTCATGCTAGGAACATGAGGCCAACGTCGAGCAAAGTGTGGCACGAGGACCATGGAAAACGTTGCAAGACGCAGATCCAGGGGAGGCCAGCAGTGACCCAGAAGGTCCGAGTTTTGCCCAGGTTGTAAGTGCACCTGCTGTGGCTGTGTAGGACACGCCACCAGTAAGTGGCCTGCGATTCCTAACACTGGCCTAGGGGTAGAGGTTAAATTCAGCTCGGGGACCTCCACCCTCGAAATGGGCTTTGCTGTGGTTCTCCAAACTGCTCGTTTTCTGTAGAATCTGGGGTTTTTTTCAGACTCTTGCTGACAGGATAGCTAAAGGCAGATAAAGATATAAAATGTGAAATATTATAACAAACTTCCCAAACGCTGCCTGCCTGCTCGCCCAACCAATATTTTTCCTAACAGTTCTGAACAGCTGTGCATGTGCTCTTTGTTTTTTTTAATAATGTTTGTTTTCTACTCATATTGTATGTCATCGGCTAAAACTTCAGAGGCTCCATTTATTTGCTGTTGGATGTTCCCAGGTTTATATTAAGCTATTTGACAGCACCAAAATTACCAACTCCCCAAAAGAAAGAGGCCAGCATTACAAAGAACCTTACAGCAGGACTCTTTGCTTCATTTTACTCTGTTCAGCCAAAGCACTAGCACATGGTAAAGCAAAATACTGTCCCTAATCTGTGACCTCTCTGGTCCCCCAAGAATGTATGATGACACAGCTCTGCTGCCGTCTTGATCACACAGAATCATGGTGGTCACTACCCTCCAGGCACCCCTGCTCACCCAGTGCAATCTGCATGCCTTTCAGAAATTTTCTGTTTTACTGGTGTTGCAGGAAGCCAGAAACCAAGTTTGATGCCAACTTTAAATCAACACAAAGTAGGGCAGCCACAAAGGCACAGGTACCAAACAGAACTTGTGAGTGGAGTGATCTGGTCCCATGTGGCCTCAGCTTTTGGCCAGGGAGCCACTTTACATCAGTATTTCACTCATCTGTGCTTAGTCAGATCAGTGGGTGGGAGTGGAAGCTTGGACCTGACCTGGGAGAGGGCTGGGGCTGCCCTCCCAGCCCATGAAGCACTGATATTACACCGTAAGGAGTGCCTTGCAAAAGCCCTGCTCATTGAGAACTGCTTGGAGAGCTCAGATGTCTCACAGGCACACCAGTCTTTGCATTTGGAGCAGTGCCTGCTGAGCCAGCCTCCTGTCCTCACCCCTGCCCTACGCAGCGGGTCCACTGTCCTCATGTCATCACTGCCTTTAGCCTGGGGGGGTGGTGACTGGCGCAGGCATATTTGGCCAGCATGCCCTTAATTTTCAGAAAGTGCATGTTGGTATCTGAGGAACTGCAAGTACTGAATTACCCTAAAAAATGAAGCTGGGACATTATGTTTTTGCAGAAGGATGGGCACACTGGACATTCGGGCGCCTGGCACACTAGAGCTGGGAGGGAATTGAGAGACATCTTGGCCACCTCTCCTTCCTACCCTTGGCGTCTTTTAAATTGGTGAAATAAAGTCAGTCAGCATGTCTGTGTACAACATAATGTTCAGTGTGCAGGACAACCCATTAGAAAGTCCACTGGACACAAAGCCATTGTCAAGAGAAAAAGTTATTTTTACTATTCCTCTCCCTCTAAATTGTATGCAGAAATGAGAACCAACTAAGCATACATAACTGGCCAAAAAAAAAAGGAAAAGGAGCATTTCACCCTTCTCAAAATAGGCCTCCATGTCTTGGTTCCTTGACATGCCTCTGTTTCCACTCCATTTCCATGTACGTTGAACTGGATTTGAAAAATACGAAGGTAGTCCAGGGCCATTGGCAAAGACCTGTGTACACCAACTGTCACCACTGTCCAGAGCTTGCCCATCACATCGGCCTAGTATGAAACCCGGAATCTGGAATGCTATGAAAAGATAATCCCAACCATGGGAACTGAGAAAAGTACCAGAGGAAAACCCCTTGAAGTTACTATAAAGACAGAAGCAAAGGAAGAAAAGTATAAACACACACACAGATCCTTAAACATGTAAGGTAGCCTTTTCCCTGTAACAGATGAGAAAAGAAGAATGCTATCAGCTGAGGCATTCGTGTGCCTTCAGTTTATATCAATGGTGATGAATTTAAGGAGAATTGAAGGCAATAATTTTTATCCTGATGTTAATCTGGCAAAACCCAACCTCCTTTGGAGAGGATCAAGATGTACCATTTAGTACCAGCTGTCATCTCTGTATAGCAGGAGCATACATCCTAGTGACAGAATCCATTTAACAGCTTTTGTGGCCTTTGGTCACCCACACTGAAGCTGCTAGGTCTTGTGTGGAAGCTTACCAAGCAAGCATCAATATGGCGGACCTGTGGCCTTCTGTGCACAGGGACAGTCCTCATGTGAGTGCAGGCTTAGGATCGCATGGTAACTGACCAGCCCAGGACAGAACCTGTGGAAACACAGCATATGACTAAATGTATCCGTGAACTGCGTACACACATTCCATCCACTCCTTCATTTCTGGCTTTAACAGTCCTTTTCCACTTCATCGGCTCTTCAGTTTCATCCTATGTAGAGAGCTGGAAAAGTCTGATGTACCCTTTAGAACAGCATCTGAAATAACTTTATGTAACGGGATGCTGAGCTGAGCACCATTTCCTGTTCTCATTGCCATTGATATAAAATAGCTGTTCTAAAATACTTAGAGTATAAGATTAAGTGTCATCTGCTTAGAATCGAGCATTGGCTCCACAGAATTCACCTTGGTAAGAGGTGAGGAAATGTGTATTTTGTTTAAAAAAAAAAAAAAAAGTCTGTGACTACCAAAGAAGGAGAAAGAGCCTCTGCCAGATGTGTTTTCAGGCCACTTCCTTTCCGGGGAAACAGCTATTTCCCCCACATGACCAGCATGTCTTCCTCTGCAGTAGAGGAAGATGAGCTGGTCCCTAAGGATGAGGGCTACATGGCTCACCCTTACGGCACTCAGTTACCTTCCTCATTGC